TAAATTTAAGTTGCATAACAACTGGACTATCTCTAATGCAGAACTATACACAATCCTTGAAGCTCTAAAATTCATTAACAAAACGAACCAGAGAAACTACACAATCATAACTGACTCAATGAATGCCCTTTGTGACATCCAAAACATATACTCCAGCAACCCTATTCATAAAGACATTTACAAAGAACTTCAAAATGCTGCAAAGGAAAACAAACACGTGGTATTAATCTGGGTTTCATTTCTTATTGGAATACACAGTAACGAAGTTGTGGACCGACTAGCTCACGAAGCAGCGACAAGTGATGGTCAAGTGCAATTAAATTAAATAGTGCTAAGTGATCTTAAATTGTGCTTAAAAAACGTAGTAAGTTGTGCGTGGCAAAACAAATGGTGGCAGTGTTCCAAAAAACTAAGGCAAATTAAAGACAATGCTTTACAAAAACAAGCCTTTGTGTTACCTAGAAAAAAACAAGTCATATTTTCTCGACTTCGTTTTAGTTACACTCGCCATACACATATTTACCGAATTACAAGAGACAATCCTCCATACTGCAACCACTGTCAAACTAACAGTACAGTAAAACATATTTTAACCGAATGTCAAATTTTCCAGGAAACGAGAAGTAAACTCAACATTTCCAGCGACATATGCGAGCTTCTTAGAGACAGCAATCATCTAAACAATATTACAAAGTTTTAACGGCTATAGACATAAAAGATATTTAAACTAAAATCTAGTCTCTATCTCAAATTACATATATCAATATTCTTCCATGTTAGTATGTAATTAATATTTACCTTTCTTTGTTCTAATATGTATTTGTCATTGTTGTCGTCTATAACCTCAGTCGTTCGTACGACATTAAATAAATCAATCAAAAAAAATAGTTTTTGTGATATATCGTTTACTGATAAATGTATTTGTGATTTTTTAAGTGCTGTCTAATTTATTTATTTTATTTAACACCTAAAATATAATTATATCTTTAGCTGTAGTCTTTGTTCTTTCTCTTACTACTTCAACTCCAACCTACATTTGCTTTTTTTTTATTTTAACAACGGGTCTGGGCTCCAATGGCCATTGGCATAAACAATAGTATATACAATCATTACAATAAGAACGTATAACTATATAATTGCTAGAGTTAATCTATCTCACTTTCTCTCTCCAATGGCGCTACGGCCCAAATTAAGCTTTGGTCTCCTCCAAACTACCCCTAAAACCTTGCCGGCTCCGTGCCGATCTTCTCCAGGTTCTTACGCCTAGCAAATTTTGCGCTTTCGCTACTACTTCATCCCTCCAACTTTTCCGTGGCCTTTCTCTTGGTCTTGCTCCCTCTATTTTACTATCTAGGGCTCTTTTGGCAATCTTCCGGTCTCCATTTTCTCTACATGATCAGACCATCAAAGTCTCTGAAGTTTAACAAATTCTGAGATCGCTACCTCTTTGAACAGTTTGTAAAGTTCATGGTCGTATCTGGATCTTCATACTCCGTTTTCGTTAATAAGTCCAATATATTTCTTAAGACTTTTGTCTTTTGTCATTACTCATGTCTCGCATCCATATCATACTATTGGCCTCATAATAGTTTTGTAGACCCTGATTTTCGATCTCCAGTGTGTGTTTTTGGAGCGTAACACATGGGCGAGTGAAGAGTAAGCTTTATTTGCCTTTACTATTCTTATTTGAATATTTGGTTCTTTTATGGCATCCATGTTTAATGTAACTCCCAGATATGTGAAACTTCATACAGTTTCAATATCGTCCTCTAATTTAACTGTGCGTCTATTTTCCCTAGCTCTTGCCTGTATTAGTTATTTTGTCTTTTGAATATTTATTTGTAGTCCTGTCTCTTCTGCCCCTGTTTTTAAAATTGTTAAGATATTTCTGCTCCCTCTTCTGTGTTACAAAACATAATGCTAATGTTATCGGCAGAGGCGGCAATCTGTCTTGATTTATTTGTTAGGAGATTACCTCTTCCTATATTCAGCTGTCTTATCAGATATTTATGAGTAAGTTTAAATAGTGTCGGTGCGAGTCAGCCTCCTTATGTTAACCCTTTGGCTCTTGAAATGTTCTCATTGAGCTCATTTTGTACTCTGAGAGTTACTGTTGACGAGTCCATTGTTATTTTTACTAGTCGCATGTATTTTTGGTGGATTTTAAAGGTATTTAATATTTGGTATAATTTTTGTCCACTAATTCGTAGGCCTGTTTGAAATCTATGAATATTTTGTGGACATCAATGTCGTTTTATCATGATTTGTTTAGAATTTTTTTTAGTCTGAATAGCTTGTCAGTTGCAGATATTTTTTGTCGAAAACCGGTTTGATATTCTCCGACAATATTTTCAGCTAATTGTTGGAGTCGTTTATTTAGTATACAGGTCAAAACCTTGTACGCTGTGCACCAGAGGGTTATGCCGCGATAATTTTTGCATTCCAGTTTATCCCCTTTTTTATAGATGGGCCATATAATTCCGGCTTTTCAGTCGCTAGGAATCTTTTCCTCATTCCAAATCTTGTTCATAAGCATATGTATTTGTCTTACTAGGTGATCGCCACCTACTTTATATAGCTCAGAGTCGATCACTGGTTATTTGCCCTTGTTAATTTCAGCATAGATTTGTTAGGAGTTTGCATCCTTCTCTTAAATTGCTTATATATCTATACGCTTTCCTTATATCGTCGCTATGGAGATTTTCTTTCATTTTCTGTATATTACCGTTTTTGTATTCTCTTTATCCTCTTCGGTCCATATTATCGACCCTCTGTCTTGCATCATCGTAGCTTGCTCTTCTTTCCCTGGTTCTTCTTTTCACATATTTCTTGTGTTCTTTATTTCTTATTCGTATGGCCTTTTTCTACTCGTCATTAAACCATTTTCTTTTTGTTTGTTTTTTTTTTGTCTATGATCTTTATTGCTGCGTCAATTACTTTTGTTTTAATTTCTTTTCAATGTTCTTCGGTACTTAGACTATCTGTATTTGTCAATGTTTGTGTTATTTTTGTCTCATAGTTCTGTTTAATATTATTGTAGTCTCAGTTTTTGTATATCTAGTTGTTGTGTTGTTTGTGCCTGTCTGTCTCTTTTGTTTCTTTGAATTTTGCATCCGTATTTTATTTATACTAGAAGAAGGTCAGATCCGCAGCATGTTCGTATTCGGCTCTTTACATCTTGTACGCTTGTTGTAGCCCGTTTGTCTATGAAGACATGCTCAATTTGGTTGGTGGCTGTTCTACCAGGCATAATCAATCCATGTCGCTTTGTGTATGTCGCAATGTGATAAAAAAGTCGAGCTGATGATCATGTTTTTTTTTACTGGCAAAGTTGATAAGTACTTTTTTATATTCATTGGTGTTTTGATGGAGTGGATTACCAATGGTTTTTAAGAAAAATTCTATTTGCCCATTTGAGCATTTATATCTCTTATACAGTTAATCTATAAGCCTTACATAAGAACATAAGTACTACAATTTTATCACTAAGTTAAAAATTAGAGGTAAACTAAATGGAAAGGGGTCTTATTCTGTTAAATAACTAAATGTCTTTTAAGATAAAAGAAACCAATTAAATACTTAATCGGGTTATTTTAAAATCTCTTTATAATTTAACTTAAGTTTGTGTTGCATTCTGTGTTTCGCGTACCGAGAACACTCGATAAGGATGTGTTCCATGGTTAATACACATGATCAGATTTGGCAGTTGGGCTTCGCCTCGGACTTTCTCAAGTAATCATGTAGTAATTGAATATGTCCAATTCTTAATTTTAGGATGACTCCTTTTTTTTTTCGAGATTTTTAAAAGTTAAAATTTTTTAACACTCTGTCGGATTTCATGTAATGTACTTGTAATTATGTTTCAGTAAATTTGCCACGTATGATACTATTGCGGCTTGAACATTTGGTTTAGGTCATTGCGGATTTAAACATGTTGGGCAGTTTTGTATTGGCCGTTTACGCTAGAAGCTTGTTTTTCGGCTTGATCTCCTTTTTTATTACTGGGAATGGTTGCCAGATAATAGTGAGATTCACACCGTAAAAATCTAGTCTAACGTAAGTCCTATGGATTTCTTGTACGTATAAACTTTTTATCGAGATTAGTGACAATAGGTGGTCTGTGTATATTGCTTGGTTCTTATTATCTGCTTATAAATTTTAAAAGCTTTTAAACGCTCACATATTTCTCCAGTGTATAACCTACATAAAATAATAGTATAGTCAGTAAGTAATAGGTAATAAATATGATTATACTGTTTCATCACATGTGATCACAGTACATCCAACGCCTGTTTCGCTTACGGAAGCATATGTTTACAAATTCTTCTCGGAATTGGTTCCTAATTATGATTTCATGTTCACTGTATGCCGCAAAAGAACTGATTGAATGTGGGATTATTCTATTTTAAGAAGGAGCATTCGAGAGTGGAAACGGATATATTTTTGTAAACTCGATGGTTTTCTTAGAGTTAATTTCTCGATTTCTATATTTAATTGAATCATTCGCAGGCTCTTCAGAGGCGATGTTGAGGTAGTTAAACGATATACTTGATTAGATGGATTTGTGGGTACACAGAAAAGTAAGACTATAGAAGATTTTCTTGTCGAATCCAAAGAGGTGGTTTATTAGCCTCGCAGTAAATCTAAGGAAAGACGAATGAAATTATCGTGAACATAGTTCAGAAGCTTTAAGTACACATGCATATATATATATATATATATATATATATATATATATATATATATATATATATATATATATATATATATATATATATATCTACCAGAGTGTTGTTGTGAGTGGAATAAAACTCTTTAGATGTTAAGTAAGATGCTTTCGTCTGGACCACACGTGTCCTGTAATAGTGCCTTGATGATACTTATTTTCGTTATAGTATTGCCTGTTTATACATACACTAATATGCTGTTTTCAAGTTAGCCCATTATCAAACGTTAAAACGAATATTTTGTGATAAATAACAGGTTACAATGGAGTTTCTTCAAGGGTGAAAATTGGACTTGGCTGCAGGATCTTTTGCTAAAACACAATAATTTTGATTTAGTGCTTAAAAGAGCTAATCCAGTTTTTTGGACCATTCGCTAAGTTGACTTACGCCGGTCTGGGGTACATTGCAAGTGGTGGTCGTACTTTTTTCTTAACAATATAAAAAGATTGTCTGCGTATATTAAGTGACTAGTGGACAAATACTTAAAACAAATATCACTTATTCCAAGAATGAACAGTGTTGTACCAAATACAGAACCGTGTTACTCTATTATTTTGCCAGTATATCGCTGATATTTCGTTATTTATTTTCACCTCAAACGTTCTTTATTACAAAAAGTCCTTTATGAAGGAGTAAATATTTTCTATTAACTTGTACTGACGAAGGTTTTGAATGATGGCTGAGCTCTAAATAGTACTGATAGCTCCTTCTAGATCAAAAACAGCAGCAATCAAATCTAGTTTATTCAAAAAAGCGGAAGCTATTTGTGTTTCGAATAGCTTTAAATTGTCAAGAGTTGAAAGCTAACGTTTGAAACCGTATTATGTTGCTTTAATTATATCATATTTTTCAAGAAATCATATGTATCTTAAATTAATCATTTTTTAAACAGTTTACATATTGAACAGATTAGGAAGATAAGCGTGTATGGCTTTGTTAAGTGCGCGGGTAGACATAGCTTTTTTATTGGTATAATAATTGATTTACGCCACGGGTTCTTTAAAATCAAAATGACGACTAGTCCCGATTTAAATTTTAAAGCTAACACTACTATATTGCTTGTCCCCTCCCCCCCCCCTCTAAAGGGTAGAATATTAAAATTTGTGGCAGCTCGCCATACAAGCTTTTTTTTATTAAGGTATTGAAATCAGAGAAATTATTAATAACGTCGTATACGCAGATGACACCACTATAATAGCAAAGAGTCTAATATTCTTCAAAGTCTATTAAATGCAGTAAACAATGATTGTAATGAAATGTGCGTAACTTAGTAATAAATCTCTGAACAGGGTAAACACGGTATATATCTGGATAGCTCGATTGACTACAGGGTTAAGAGTGATGACAAAAGTTGAACCAGAATAGAACCGGTTTCGCAAAAGCTTCATTTACTGGCCTTCTACATTATGCGAGTAAATTATATCATTGAACACTCGACTAAAAATGCTAAAGTGCCATGTCTGCTGTACTTTGCTTTATGGATCTAAAACTTGGACAATAAAAATCAAAAATCTAACTAAATTAAAAGCGTTTTAGTTGTGGTGTTACCGTTGCATGCTCAAAATCTCGTGGACAGTACACATATCTAACGAACTTGTGCTAGAAATCATGCACAAAGAGCAAAAATTTAATAATTTCATTAAAATGAGAAAGATTTAATATTTAGGGAAAACAATAAGTGGACTAAATATGGCTTATTTCGGTTGACCATTCAGGGCAAAATAAAAGAAAACTGCTGGTTTGGAAGAAAACAACTGTCCTGGCTACGTAGCATTAAACAATGGACTTATTAAACTGTCGAGGCATTGTTTTATATAGCTATCGATCGAGAAGCATTTCAGCAGATTTTTAACATGACTATAACTAATTTCTTCTTCTTTCAGTACCCTCTCCGATTATCGAACGTTGGCGATCATATTGGCAATAATAACTTTGTTTACGGCGGCTCTAATACCATTCGTTGAATGGGAGCCAGGATATTCTTCTTCGATCTGTGCCTCTCCTTCAGGCGATCTTTCCCTGTATTATGAGGTGTAGAAGGTTATACCTCTGTGGATGTCTCATTACATGACCGAAATATTGTAACTTCGAATTTTTATCGTGTTTGTTATTTCTGTGCTCTTTTTCATTCGATGTAAAACTATTTTATTTCTTATTCGATCAACCTATTTTATCCGCAATACTCGTCGATAAATCCACATCACAAAGGCCTTCAATTTTTTCATTAATGTCTCTGTAAGGGTCCAGCTCTCCATACCATACAGTAATGTGGAGAATATGTAGTAGCGGATTAATCTAATTTTAAGGTTTAACGTATTATCTCTATTAATTAGAATTTTTGTTTAAATTATAGAAGGCGGCTCTGGCTTTTTCAATGCGTATTCTATTTCTTTATTTATATCCCAGTTATCGTTAACGTTTGCGCCCAAATAGATAATATTGTAAAATCTGTCTAACTCTATTACATACGGTCTTATTTTAGTTGGTTGTAACTCCATTTACCTGACAACTATAAGTTTTGTCTTAGAAGTATTAATTTTTGGCCCATATTCATCACATGCTTTGGTAACCCTGTTTATAAGTCGTTGCAGGCCTTCTTCATTGAAAGCAATAAGTACCGTGTCGTCTGAATATCTGAGATTGTTGACATTAATTCCAATGATTTTATTGCCTGTATTTTCAACTAAGGCTTATTTGAAATTAAATTTGGAGTAGACATTAAAAAGTAGAGGTAATAGAATACATCCCTGTCTTACTTTACGTCCTATTTCCACTGCTTCCGTCGTGTTGTGTCCAAATCGTATGTTTGCACATTGATGAAAATACATCTTTTTGATAATAGGGAGGTCTCGGTCATCAAGTCCCACCTGTTGCAAGACACCTATAAGTTTGTTATGATTTACTTAGTCAAAAGCCTTTACGAAGTTAATAAAATATATATGCTGGTTGTTCGATACCTTCACATCTTTTAATCATGACCTGCAAACTGAAGAGTGCTTCTCTGGTTCCAAGGTTGTTTCTGAAACCAAATTGTGTTTCAGTTAGTTATACTTCTAATTTGTTGTAAATTCTCGAGTGCAGTATTCTTAGGATAATTTTTAGTACATAACTCATCAGACTGATAGTGCGATGATCGCTACACTGTTTGGCATTTTTTTTTTCGGTATCATTGATCGTTGATGTATGTCCTGTTTCGTATATTTTATTGAATAGGCATAGAAGAATAGAAAGTAATACCAAGATCATGGCTGAAGTCAACGTTTATTGCTCTACCAAAGAAAACAAAATCCTAAGAATTATACTATAAAAGTACAGAGGCTATACTCTGTTTAATATATAATATACTCTGAGAAAATCTCTGATTATTTGAGAAGAAGTGCTAGAACATCAAGGCTGGAAAGGAAAACCAACGAATCTATAAGAAATCAGATGAATGCTACAGATAGGGTCATAGACAGAATAGAAAGAAGAGGTTTAAAATGGTTTGGACACCTGTTAAGAATGCCTGACGAACGTTGGCCCCAAAAACTTTACAGATGGAAGCCTCCTGGTAGAAGAAAAAGAGGTAGACCTCGACGCTCATGGAATAAAGGTATTAGAAGAGCAATGGAATCGAGAGGTTTGGCGGAGGAGGACGGGAATACGGCGATAGCCGTCTCCAAGATGTATTCTATTTACAAATTGGATCCTGTAATATCTATATATATATATATATATATATATATATATATATATATATATATATATATATATATAGAAAATCTTTCAAAAAGCAGTAGAAGATGTTGAAGCCGGAATTTGAATTAACGGAGAATGTATCAATAACTTCAGATACGCGGATGACACGGTGGTATTTGCTAACAGTTCTGAAGCCCTCCAGGAGGTACGGAATAGAATCATAGAAGTGAGTCAAAGATATGGACTTTCACTGATCATTAAGAAAACAAAATGTATGAGGATCTCTAAAAAGGAACAGCAAATTTTAAGAATCAATGTGAACGGTCAACCAATAGAAAGAGTATAAACTACCTTGGTCCTACCTTGGTACGAACGTTAATGAAACTTGGGACCATTCTCTATAAATAAAATCTAGGATAGAGAAGCAAGATCTGCATTTCATAAAATGGCTAAGCTATTTAAATATCATGATTTATCAGTACTTATAAAAATCAGGTTACTACGATGTTATATATTTTCTATATTGTTGTACAAAGGTGAGTGGTGTAAGACTACTGTAAGAAAATTGAGGCTTTTGAAATGTGGCTTTATCGTAGAATCCTGAAGATATCCTACACCGACCACATTACTATCATCATCGTTTTGGCTTTACAACCCTGTGTGGGTCCTAGCCTCCCCAATAATTCTCTTTCAGTCATCCTTATCCATTGCCTTCCTCTGCCAAGTACGTATTTTCATATTTCTCATATCTTGGTCTATGTCATCTAGGAATTTTGTTCTGGGTCTTCCTCTTCTTCTTTGACCAATAGGTGTATCAAGGAGCGTTTTTCTAGCTGGGTCGGTTTGCTCCATCCGCATTACATGGCCTACCCACCTCAGACGTCCTATCTTAATGTGTTTTACGATATCTGGTTCCTGGTATATTCTATAAAGTTCGAAGTTGTATCACCTTCTCCAGACACCATTTTCATTTACCGCTCCATAGATTCGCCTCAGTAATTTTTTTTTCGAAACATCCCAAGTTACTAACCAGGGCGTTTTATTACGAATGCAAAAAGGAAAAGAGTTGTTAACCACAATAAAAACAGCCAAAACTGAGTACCTCAGGTCACATCATGAGGAATAGCAAAATATATGGGTTGCTGCAATTGATTTTTCAAGTAAAAGTAAAAGGAAAACGGGGACCAGAAAGGTAAAGAATTTTCTGGTTGAAACATCTACATACGTGGTTCAACACAACAACCACAAATCTTTTCATAGCCGCAGATTGCAAAATACAGATTGAAGTGATAGTCGCCAATATCCGAAACGACTGGGCACTACAAGAAAAAGAAGTATTAAATGGAAGAGTAACAAATAGTTAATAAGCCCTCATCTTCCCTCTAATATTACAACTAGTGTTATTACTACTGGCTTACAGAATTGTTTTTTATTAGCCAACAACAAACTAAAATAGTTACAGAATAATTTCAAATTACCATTAACTTCTTTGAATTGGGTTCTATCATTCTATCTCTGCTATTATTTATTAAAATATTTTGGATAAATTGAGTGAGAAAATATTGAATAAAATTACTTTCTTATACTAAGACTCGACTTCTTTTGCTCGCTACATTTCTTTTATTTTTTTATT